GGTACATGGATCATTTTGTAGTTTGTAGAATCTTTAGGGAGGGATGTAGGGGTACATGGGACACTTTGCAGCTTGTAGACTTTTTAAGAGGGAATTTAGGGGTACACGGGTCACTTAGTAGTTTGTAGAATCTTTGAGGAGGGCTGCAAGGGTACACGATCATTGAATAACATGGTATTGTGACAATATTGAAGCTATCAAATAAATAAATAAATAAATCCATTCTATACTGGGAACAGTTTCGTTCATTTCAAGAATTAACGCATCTTCAGCATGTTTTTTAAAACTTATAATTGTAAAGAAAACACGAAATACAGATTTTATAAAGAGTWTTTTTTAGTGTTTAGTGCAAACTCGATTGGAATCGAATAATATTCAACTGCAGGTGACAATGGAAAGCCAAGCAATTTAAGCATATTCAACATATTTGTAATAAAAACTTTATTTGTTATTTAAGACGCTATAAAAGTCATATTAATATTAATTGGCGCACTCTGTTACTCGAACAAAGAAAAACTCATGAACAAGCTGAACAAGCTGCTAACCGACCAAAGGGGTGTATAATACACCGACAGGGGTTTACGCTTAAAMGCATTTATCTAACCCCGCCCAAAATCACTTTACGTCGCCTGTCCATCAGACTGTTCAATAGCTTTCCGTAAGCTATGTAAAACTCAGAAAAATCTCGAATTTTTTTCCTTAGCGCTTAAAAATGGTAATATTCTTCTAGAAAACCGAAGCACAAAAATAAAATGTATTCATAGGTAGAATTCAATGAAAACATTAAAGAAGGAGTGAATTTCAAATCCTTTAACAAATTTACAGCGAGACACACAAACGTATGACCACATGCAATGTAGGCGCGTTCTTCTATGCCCGGTTCTTTACGTTAAAACGACACAGTTCGATGCAAAGCGGGCTAGTCTTACCAAAATAAGCGGGCGTACAAACGCTCGTTTGGCAGGAAATAGCCCGTACTTTGAAGTATGCAAATACATTTAAAATGTGCTCATGCKTTTGTGAGTTGCKCTGTAKTCTTAATTTTAGATTTYCAGTTGCTTCATACCTATCCTAATTAACGCTTTTGTCATTTACATTTTTGAGAATAACTGGATAACGTGCGCGCATGCTCTATGCAAGTTTTTGCTCTGTGCAAAAAAGCACGCAGGCTTTGGCAGCCTAGACGCCAGTAAATTGAATAGATAATTATAATTTATAGATCTTTTTTCACGTTTTTTCGGACAAGTATAATTCAAACAATTTCAGATTAGCTAAATAGTAAGTTTATCTGATAGATTATCTCTTCATATATATAGCTCTTATTAACCGAGTGCGAATTCCGTACCGTAAGTTATGGACCGAGTTTTTTCCACTGCCTTATGGCCCAAGCGCGTAGTGCGCGGGCCATAAAAAAGTGGAAAAAACGAGGATCCATAACTTACGGTACGGACCGAGCAAACGAGGTTAACAAGATATTTATTATATGGCAAGGCATTGAGATCAAAAAGAGGCGAAGCAACAAAAAGTAAAGTTGACAGCGCATGTCAAACAAGAACTGCATTGGAAGGGCTTCCTGTACGTGCCAAAAGTCATGTAGTGTTTGAGTCGCTCAAAAGGCGAAGTTTTAGTTTACTTTGAAAGAATTT